AGAAACGGGAGAAGCAGTAGATCTCTAAACACGCCCAAGAATCATTCCCCAGAGCAACGATAGCAGCCTTTGAGAATGTCAGATCTATATTTGCACAAAGATGTGTCACTGTAATAGGTGTTAACCATAGGAGCAAAAAAAGGGGGAAGAGAAGGAGAAAACCAGATAATGAAAGCAAGGGCAATGGCGCAGACTCAGTTGCCAAAAGAAGGAGAATAAGACAGGTGAAAACTCTGCAAGGTCAAAACACTGTTCAAAGGGGTTTAGAGAATGGATATCAGAGTTGGGTCAGAGTGACTATTTCAGTGATATTCAGACTGAGGCTCGCAAGCCGCAAGTGCCTCTTCAATGTGCATCCTGTGGCTTTTTACAGCACATATTAAAACACTGTGTGATTTAATTATTAACCAATCTAATTTATTAACTAATCAGGATGCTTTTACTATGTTAACAATTGTAGCTGATAAAATAATACTTGGTCAGTCATTTTGCTGCGAGAATAATAGAAATACACACACACACACGGCTGGATTTAGGGGCAGATGACCCCAGCGACCACCTGGGGTGCCGGGCTTGGGGAATGCCGGGAACAGGGTGCTGTTTTTGTTGTTAGCGACAAAAGGAAAAATAGAACATTTGAAGTAAAATGTTTTATGTATTCTGTACGTGCATTCATTTTTCACTAACCCCCGAAAATGTTCTGGACCTTTGTAGAATCTCATGGAACCTTCCAGACTTTTTGAGAACCACATTTTCCTTGAACCTCCTAGAATGTTGTCAGCCATGCCCTCATGAATATATAAGGCGCTCGATATTCTAAACCTTTTTTTATTGTGTAATTGTGAAAGTGTATTTGTGTTTTAAGACTTAAAGAATGTAAGTAGTGACTAATGAAGGACATTTTTAATGAGACATCAGAGATATCTAATGAACCCCTATCTACGCAACAATATAAAAGAAATACTGTTACTTCTTTTGGCATGTGCAATACATAATGTTTGATTACTTTCTAACACTGTGGAACATAGACTTTTGCTGTCCCTAATACAGTCTGTTTTCCCCCAAAGAAGCCTTCAGGAGCTCAGTATAGGAAGCGAAAAACTCAGTTGCAATCTAGTTTGCAACAAGGGGAAAATATCTGAAACAGAACAACATAGACCAGCTTTAGGCAGTAGCGATCATCCCAGTGCAGAAAAAACTGAGGAGTGAAGCGTAAATGATGGAATTCCTATTATTAAGGAATTAGCAGATTTTCCTGATGATAAAGAATGGAAATGTAAAGAAAGTGATGGAGAATCGTCCATCGTCCTGGTGGCATAAAGGAGAGTGATGATAGGGAAGAATTGGCTCACATGAAAAGGAGAGAAATGACAAAGAAAAATCTGGTTTACATGAAAAGGAGAGAAATGATGAAGAATCAGCCACACATGATGACAGAAACAACAATGAGAAAAACTGCACACCACAAATTGATACATCAGATCCTGCTTTATGGCCAGTGATCCTAAACTCTGCCAATATTAATCATACAATTTTGAACAAGACAGGCAAAATCGAGAATATGACGTTTCCAGTAAATGAGCAGAAGCGACTCTTCTCAAAGTCACACTGCAAAAGAGTGCTCAAGAAGAGTGAGATACAGAATGGGCATTGGCTAGTTTACTCAAAATCAACCGACAAACTGATCTATTTTTCTTGTAAAATATTTGACAAGAATGCAAATTATGGCTTGTGCTTTCTGGGTACAAATGCTGGCATAACTTAGCTGATGCTCTGAAGCAACATGAAAAGTCACTTGGCCATTTTACAGCCCAATCCAAATGGACATGAGTCAAGTCCACGCTCAAGCTGAATAAATGCAAAGATGCAGAAAAACAGTACATTATCCAGTGTAGAAACTGAGCATTGGAGGAACGTGTTCAAGCATCTGTTCTGAATTACCTTTTTCCTTGCAAAGAATAATTTGGCTTTCTGGGGCTCGTCTGATACATTGTTCACTGAACATAAAGGTCATTTCCTTGGTTTTGTAGAGCTCCTTGGGAAATATGACAATATCATGTGTAAGCACCTACGTCAACTAGTTTGTAAAGAAGCTATGGACCATTACTGCAGCAAAACAATTCAAAATGAATTGATTAACCTTATGGCAAGGAAAGTGCTTAACAACATATTGATGCAGCTCAGCAAAGCAAAGTACTACGCTGTAATAATGGACTGCACTCCTGACAGTAGTCACAGTAAAAGATGTCATTTACAGTAAGATTTGTTGACAAGGATGGGTGTATCCAAGTAAGGGAACACTTGATCTGTTTCCAGTCTGGACAACTCTACTGGAAAAGGACTACCAGAACTGTTTATGAACATTTTGAACGAGAAAAAAATAAAGCTTCAGGATTTCCATGGCCAAGGCTACCACAATGGCACAAACATGAAAGGAAGAAACAGTGGTGTCCACGCAAGGATGCTTGCCTTGAATCCAAGAGCTTTTTTTATGCCTTGTGGCTGCTATTCCCTCAACCTAGTTGTGTCAGATGCAGCGTCCTCTTCTTTAGATTCAGTATCTCTCTTCAGAGTACTGCAAAGGATATATGTCTTGTTTTCAGCATCAACTATCAGGTGGAAGATATCACAGTCAATGTCACAAACCTGACTATGAAGCCACTAAGAGAGAGCTGCATTGAAAACATAAGGTCAAGGTAAATCTGACCATGAAGCCACTGCTGAGAGAGCTGCATTGACAACATAAGGTCAGTGAGGTACCATGTGACTGTTGTTTATGACGCCCTGATGGAACTGGCACAGTTGAGTAGAGGCCAGAATCTGACACGAGACACAAAGCCCGGTAAACCAGATCGCTGACTTCAAATTTCTGCTCTCAATTGTGGTTTGGCATGATATCCCGTTCCAAGTCAATGTTGTAAGGCATTACACACTCAGTAGATGGACATTGCGACCACTGCTACTTTGATTAGAAGTTGACTTGATTTCATTGTGGCCTACAGAGACAATGAATTTGAACATGCCATCACAGCTGCCAAAGAAATGACAGAAAACTTAGGAGTTGAGCCTGACTTTAAAAAAAAAACCTCATATTCATCATAAGAGGAAACAGCTTGGTTACAAGGTCAGAGATATGGTGATAGGAAGTGTGGCAGAGCTCCGACCTTGTCCCCGTGGGTCCTGTGCTTCCAGGAGGTTTATGCTAGCATCAGAGGCTCACTTGGACCCTCCACGTAGCCCTTCTCTCTCTAATGCCAGGGTTACAGTCTTTTCATCATAAGCCAGCAAGGAGGTTGGTGAGAGAACTCCCACAGCCTCTGTTGTCCCTACAGGCTTATTCCAGAACAGTTAGGCCCCTGTCAGGACAGGAGGCTAGTCTTCCCCTCCCAGGAGGTGTTTCTGTAGTGGTGGGCTGGGGAGAACCCAGGCCCGCCCTCTACTCTAGGTTCCGGCCCAGGAACCCTAATGGCAGCAACTGTTGGCAGCCGACCTTTCACTGCCAGAGTTGATACATTTCCCTGGGCCACTTCCCTACCGCTCTCCCGCTTCTCTCTGTTAACGCCTTCTTCACCCTTACTTTGCGTTTCCAGTGGCTTGAGGGTGTCTTCATTACCCAGCCCTTCAGTCACACTTCCTCTCCTCTGGCTCCCTGGCTCTCCTTGGCCTGACCGGAGTGAGCCCTTTTATAGTATCAGAGGGGCCTTAATTAGAGTCAGGTGTTCACATTAGCTTAACAGCTTCACCTGATTCTTTGCAGGCTAACTGGAGTCATGTGTCCACCCTAGCCTGGAGAAGCCCTGCTCTGGTCAGTCAGGGAACAGAAAACTGTTTATCCAGTGGCCTTCTACTATCTGCCTTCTACTACTCTGCTGTACCCAACTGGCCTGCGTCTATCACAGAAGCTTGGACGAAAAATTCAAGGAGGAGGTTTTTTGGTTGCTCATTGACACTGCTCAAGTGTCCATCAAAGAAAGGTCTGGATAAATGAAGCACCACGAAAAGACCTAGAGGATTTTGTATGACCTTAGTAAGCAGGAAAACACTTGAACAGTTGTACGGACCTTCACCAGACTCTGACACATGGAGAATGTTCAGATGTCAATGATGAAAACCTCTGTGTTGAACTGGACAACAGCAATCACATTTTGCAATACAGGAAGCACTCTCCACTTCAAGTTCTCCTATTTTGTCATGATGCAGAGCCGGAGAACACTTTTCCTAATGTGCGGATACTTTGAGGATTCTGCTCACGCTGCTGGTCATAGTCACAAGAGGTGAGCGCAGCTTTTTGAAGCTCAGGCTCATAAAAACATATTCAATTGACGATGGCCAATGAAAAAACTGACATTGTTTGCTATTCTATTGCTTGAAAATGGCATTGGCCAGTCTTTGGATCTCTAATGCTGTGCTTCAGTTTGGGAGGGCAAAAGGTGAGAAGAGCAACTTTTTGAACTGAAGGATAGGGTTAACATTCTAAGACTGTCACCTTCTGTAACACTATTTAATACTGGTCCACCCAATGTTGGTGCACAGTTCAATTTCTTCATGTTAGAATATTTCAGTTATTCTTAAAATTAAAAAAAGTTTCTATAAACAATTATTTTTATTTGCTTACATAGGGCATAACTTACAGATCCTAGCGTACAAATTTATCATCTTATGAGACAGGGATAAATCATGCATGCAAATCATGTATCAAAGTCATGAAATGGGCTACAAATGCAATAAAAAATAAGGTATTCAAAAGTTTAACAAATGGAGGGGAGGGGGGCCACCATCTGTTCTAGGGCCAGCCCTGTATATACATAAAAATAGTAAATGAAACAATGAATTCACATTACTGTGACTCTTTTGTGTAACGTTGACCACTAATATGGCTCCTGAACCACTAAGGTCTGAGTATCACTGGAAATATTTGTTTTGGAGATTTACATCACCACCCAACCTAGGCCATCACCAATCACAACACATGGGAAACCACTTATAAAGAAAAAGGTTACCTCTATGTGCATTGCAAGTTGTGCTTTCTCCTTGTCCTTGTGCTCTATGCATTGCTTCAGCTCCTCTACCTCTGACATGACAGCACTATGATTCAGCTTTGCTCTTAACTCCAGGATCTGTTTCTCCAACTCTTGCTTCTCCCGCTCAGACCTTTCAACAACTACGAAATAGTGTGAGCCATTTGTGAACAAACAGAATTGATATGCCAAGTGAAAGCACTAAAATCTAGAAATTAAATTTCTCATTCCTATCTTTGCAGTACTATTTTCTTCTTCCCATATAAATTATGGGGTATTAATGGGAACATATGAATATCCCACAGCTATTGATTTTATCAGTATACAACTGGAAGATACTAAAAGTTAAAAGTATGATTTCATAGCTAGGGAAATATTAGCCTTCTATTCACTGCAGCCAAGCCATTTCATGTTCTCTTCCTCCTTTGTAGGCAGTTTTCATATAGGAGTGAAAAAAACATGGATGAAATGGGAGTTTTACCACTGACTTCAACAGAGCCAAAATTTAACCACATTAAGGCACAGTCGCAATATCTGGATGCTATACCATTAGTGAAGAGTACTTTATAAAAAATTGTCAGGATGTATCACTTTTTAGTATATCTAGGTAAGTATGTGAAGTTTCCATTCTTATCCAGAACTTGTAAGGTAAATTTCTATCTAAAAATTGCAGTAATTATATCAGCTGTTCCTCAGCTGACAATCAAGGTTCTTCGGTTTATAACTCAATAGAAATTCAGAAAACCTCAGTCCCTAACCCTTTGCATGACTCTCTGTTCTATCCCCAGACTACTTACTGTTGAAACATTTGCTTAAAGCTCTATTCCTCTTTTTGGTAAAATTGCTCCAGGACAGGTTTTGTTTCTTTCTTTGCATTTTTTACAGAAACATTTTATAGCATACTTATTATAATTGCAAAACAAGTGGTGGAAAGGAATTTTAAATGTGCAATATAAGGCTCTCATACTATTGTCACAAATAAGTTCAATTTTAAGCAAAATGGTCACCTTATCAGGTGGTTCAAAAATGGCTAACAATTCACCCTCTTCTGAAAAAACAAAGTATTTGATACAGGACTATAGAGTCTTCAGTTTTCTGAGGAAGGGAAGATTTTTATAAAACATGGAATCACAATTCCATTTTAATGACCATGAGACTCTGTCTGGATGTAAGAGGAATTAAGCAGCTGTAATATGAAGTTACAAAAATAGAAAGTAGGACTTAAGCAAGCTGATGAAAGATTCATTGGGATATTGAACCTAGCCTAGATACCACCTAAATCACACAGAAGTGTGTCACTATAAATGATAGACCATAGTGATTCCAGAAGATATTGACTTTTTTAAAAACACACAAGTCAAGATGCATTTAGAGAGCTCAAGTACAGATCAATTTGTAATTTTTTATCCAAAAATACTTTAGAGACATTATAGCCTACTATGCAATTACCTCTTGAGATTTTAAATGTATTTTTTAAATTCTGAATACCATGACCTATTTTCACATTTGTAAGGTGTCACAAATACAAGCATTAACTGAATGTGATTGAGACTATATTCTCTACTTCTCCCTAGAATAAGTTGTCATTTCTGAAGGATAATTTGGAGGTTTAACAGGCAGTTTAGCAACCTTCTTAATTAAGGAAAAATCTACACAGGCAGGTGAATCTTGCACTGTGCTGCAATGTGGCAAGAGTTAATCTCATGATAGGTAGAAATACCAACATTTCAGAAAAATACTATCAAAATTTTTACAGTAAATCTTTTGATACTATAAAAACGGTTCAAAATTTCTCTTCAATGAAGAAACCATTGATGCTGCTCAGCTGAATAATCCTATACATTTTGGACTTTTAAAAAAATAACCAGTATGAAGATAATGTATTTCAGTCTTCTCATAACTTTTGTTTCTCTTAACTACTTAGCTACCAACATCTGACACCAATACTAACAAAAGTTAATTGAGCCAAGATGATAACTAGCTGTATTAGTTCAACCAACAGAGGATCTAGATTACAACTCAAAAGACCATAGATCATTCTCTTGCAAAGTCATAAATTTATGTCCCGAAAAACAGGAAAAGGCTGTACCTGATCTAATTCTCCTGTTGTCCTCTTGCTCATCATGGCAGCTTTGGCGGTGCAGGGCAACCTGTGAAACTTGATGCTGCAAATCCATGCGGTCCGCTTCCGCTCTCAGTAATTGGGAATGGAGATCCTCAATCTAACAAATAGACAAGTACCAAACATTTAATAAAACAAAACAAAAATGCAAACAATTCAATTCTACCAAACACCATAAAAGACTTGATATAGTCTTGATATTCTTTAGCAGATCCCTTAGTGCTCAGAGAGGGCAAGCATAAACTAAATGAAAGTTCATTCCTAGATATGGTCAGAAAGGGATGACCAAAATACTAGGTGAGCTAGTATAAATCATTACATTGCCAGTTGCAAGGAAAGGCTTTAATCTAAACCAAGCCATGTTCTAATCATTTTCACATCCTGTAATTGGCTTATTTTATCTCTATATCTGATTCTGGGTGGGGGGAAAATAAAGATTGCAGTCATCAGAAGTGTGATATGTACAAATCAATACTTCTTTAGTATAAGAGGATTCTGCAGCTCGCTTTCATTTTCTTTCTGAATATATTGTATGTCACATATTAACAATACTGTACAATATTAACAATACAAAGAACATTTGATAGAGCACCATTAATGTGTATGTTAAAACAAGGCAAGCACAGAACCAGAATTAAAGCAAAAAATATTCTTAATCCACCCCACTGTGCCTAGGTATTTCAGCATGTATGAGACATAACATCTTCTGAGGTACCTACACACAATGGGGTGAATTCAAAATAAAACAGCATTTTCAACTCAGAAATCTGTACTGTTAACAAATTCAAACAATGAATGCTAATGGAACTGAGCCCCAAGTCCCCCTCAACCAATTTCATCTTTTTTTCTAGCTCTCCAAAAAAAAAAGAGAAAAAGCACTGAGTAAATAGGGAGAGTTTCTGATGCTATAAAGTATTAGAGGGGTAGCTGTGTTAGTCTGTATCCACAGAAACAACGAGGAGTCTGGTGGCACCTTAAAGACTAAAAGATTTATTTGCGCATAAGCTTTCATGGGTTAAAAAAACCACTTCTTCAGATGCATGGATTGAAAATTGCAGATACAGGCATAAATATATATTGGCACATGAAGAGAGGGCGTTACCTTACAAGTGGAGAACCAGTGTTGAAAGCCAATTCAATCAGGGTGGATGTGGTCCACTCCAAATAATTGAGGAGGAGGTATCAATACCAAGAGAAGGAAAATTGCTTTTGTAGTGAGCCAGCCACTCCCAGTCCCTATTCAAGCCCAAATTAATGTTGTTAAGTTTGCAAATGAATTGTAGCTCTGCAGTTTCTCTTTGAAGTCTGTTTCTGAAGTTTTTTTGTTGAAGAATAGCTACTTTTAAATCTGTTATTGAATGTCCAGGGAGATTGAAGTGTTCTCCTACTGGCTTTTGTATGTTACCATTCCTGATGTCTGATTTGTGTCCATTTATCCTTTTAGGTAGAGGACTGTCCAATTTGGCCAATGTACGTGGCAGAGGGGCATTGCTGGCAAATGATGACATATATCACATTAGTAGAAGTGCAGGTGAATGAGCCCCTAATGGTATGGCTGGGTCCTATGATGGTGTCGCTAGAGTAGATATGGGGACAGAGAAGGCAACAGGATTTATTACAGGGATTGGTTCCTGGGTTAGTGTTTCTTTGGTATGGTGTATGGTTGCCGGTGAGTATTTGCTTCATGTTGGCGGTCTGTCTGTAAGTGAGGATTGGCCTGCCTCCCAAGGCCTGTGAGAGAGGGGGATCTTTTTCCAGTATAGGTTGTAGATCGTTGATGATGCGCTTGAGAGGTTTTAGCCAGGGGCTGTACGTGATGACAAGTGGTGTTCTGTTATTTTCCTTGTTGGGCCGGTCCTGTAGTAGATGACTTCTGGGTACCTGTCTCGCTCTGTCAATCTGTTTCCTCACTTCCCCAGGTGGGTATTGTAGTTTTAAGAATGCTTGATAGAGATCTTGTAGGTGTTTGTCTGAGGGATTGGAACAAATCCGGTCATATCTTAGAGCTTGGCTGTAGAGGATGGATTGTGTGATGTGTCCTGGATGGAAGCTGGAGGCATGTATAGCGGTCAGTAGGTTTCTGATATAGGGTGGTGTTTACGTGACCATCACTTATTTGAACTGTAGTGTCCAGAAAGTGGATCTCTTGTATGGACTGGTCCAGGCTGAGGTTGATGGTGGGGTGGAAATTGTTGAAATCATGGTGGAACTCTTCAAGGGCCTCCTTCCCGTGGGTCCATATGATGATGTAGATGTCATCAATGTAGCACAAGTAGAGGAGGGGCGCTTGGGGATGAGAGCTGAGGAAGCGTTGTTCTAAGTCAGCCATAAAAATGTTGGCATACTGTGTGGCCGTGCAGGTACCCATAGCAGTACCGCTGACTTGAAGGTATAAATTGTCCCCAAATCTGAAATGGTTCTGGGTGAGGACATGAAAGCTTATGCCCAAATAAATCTGTTAGTCTTTAAGGCGCCACCGGACTCCTCGTTGTTTCTGATGTTATACTGGATTCCCGGGTCTTTCAGATTCAACAGTTTCAGTGTGCCTTGTTCAGGCCCAAATATAGACAGTTTGCATAGTACTTTTACTATATTTCTATTGTAGCAAGTGTTTCTATACCACTCTGATGTCTGGAGTCACTGACTATCAACAATACTATGTACCACATATCACAGAACAGTTACAAATACACAATATACAAAAACACACTATGAAATGCAGCTAGAACAGTGCATGTGTTTATCCAATGTAAACTCAACTAATTTGAAAAGTTGGAGGATAAAAAGTACACACACACAAAAGTGTGTTTGAGACACTAATGCATTTAGAGACACTTACAAATGCAAATGCCTACATTATGTATTATATATATTTCTTCATCCCCCAGCTGGATGTCTGCAACAAATGAAGCTCTCGGGAACAGTTTGTCTTCTTGATCCAGTCTATTTTTACAGCACACACCTGAAGGAGCTTTGGTAGATATCAACATGACACAATGCCATTGAAGGAATGGCTTTAGTGACTATTTTTAATGCTGAGAAGCTCCCATTTTTTATATGATCTTATGTAGATCAGTCTAGTAGGCATTGCTTTGTACATTTCCTTCCTTGCTCTCCCAAACAAAATGTTGTTATTAGAGTAACTGACAGCAAGATTAAAGAGACAGGCTTGAGCCTAGCTTAATATGAAAGGAGGAGGATTTTCATGGCATGAAAGTTGTTACCTGATGCAGAAGAGCTTCTCGACTGCCTTCTGACTGATCTAACTTCCTCTGGGACCGCTTCAACTCCTGCTCAAGCTTATAATTTGATTAAGGATGAAGAAACAAAGTTACACATTCATCCTGGTACTAAAATATTTTAACTATTTAAAACTAACAACTTATATTTAAAAAATAAAATAAAAATAATTTCTTATACCTCTAACCCTGAACATGTAAAGCAAACTGTAATATAAGATGCTACAAACATATCTACAATTATTAAAATAAATTTATAAATTTATCATGCATCATGTAATCATTTACCTCTGTACTACCACCAGTGACTACAAAATGGCATATGCATTCCCAAACCAAAACAGCATTAAAATGGAAGTTAAAACTCAGAGCACATATCGCTAATTTAGGGTAAATTGCCTTACAAAGATGATGCAATTGTCCAAAAAAATAAGCATTAAAAACTCAGGAAATTCAAAATAAAAGATTGTTTAAAAGACATCCAAACATGTTAAAATATGAAAATGCACAGGTAAGGCACTCAAACCACTTCAGTTCTGCCTTTCAGCCATACCACACAATAACTATGGAATAATGACTGATATATTACAGAACTTGGTCCAAGATAATATGATACTCATTTTTAAAGAAAGGCCAGGCTTGGGAGGATGGGTTCCATTTTTTTCTCCTCATGTTGTCATTAAACTGTTTTGTTACCTTGACTGTGCAATTCCATACTATCCGGTAGATAACAAGAGAACGCTGAATTGTTTTTAGTCAAGCTTTAAAAAAAAGTATTGCTCCAGGGCCAAGAAGAAATGTGTAACATTTTAGACTGAAAGGTAATAGACTGATAGTGTGATATGATCTGAAAATGACTTTTAAAAAATGAAAATTCTTGTTGCTGCATGCTTCACTTGTAAAAACTTTAAAGACTGAATCTAGTTGATGCTTCGCCTGATGGCCTACTGACAGTGCTCTGCAGGGTTCTGAGGGAAACCTGGGTTTAAATTACTCTTGTAATTCTGCTCCTAATGTTTCAAATACAGAAGAGAAAAAAAAATAATAGCCTGAAAATTTAAATTTAAGTGTCCAGACTTCTATGCAATTAAAATATCTACTGTAAATAGGATGATAGGAAGTGGAAGCCAGCGCTTTATGGGCACTACCAGAAATCATTATCAAATGGATGTTCAATTTCCATCAGTATTAATGCATTTAATCGTCTGTGTATGGTTCAGTTAATTCATCCCTGCAACTACTCTATTGAGACCCTCTCTGGGGACAAAGTTATTTTTGGATAGAGAACACTGTATTTGCATAAATGGCAGCAGGGAGGGTGGCACAGAAAGGTTAATCAGAGAAGCTGATAAATAGGCAACAAGCCTGGTATCAATGGCAGAGCAGAGTAGGTAGGAGAATGTGAAACAATAAATGCGTGGATATAGCAGGGAAGAGCAAAACTTTGAAGGCATTGACAACAAATCTGAACTTTATGCAGTGGAGAAAGGGTAGCCAGTGGAGAGATACAAAAAGGGGCGGCATGGTCAAAACTACTAGCAAGGAAGCTAATCTTAGAACAGCATTTCTATGGACTATAAGAGAGTTATATGGGCGTCAGAGAGGCCAGGAAGAGGAGATTATAATAATTAAAATGGGAAAAAATCCAGATGAGAGAGTGAGCTGCAAGGATGTAAAGAATATGTTAGATCTTAGAGATGCCGTGAAGTAGGAAGCCAATAACTTTCCACATGGTTTAGCTGTGTGGGGCAAGGTGAAGGGAAGTGTCAAAGTAATCCCTAAGCTACAGCCTTGACTGACTGGGAGGTTACTGGTTTTGTCAACAATGACAAAAAAGGGTAGAAGTGAGGGCTTTGGAGGGAAGATAAGGAGTTCAGTTTTGGCTGTTTGCAGTGTATGGTGCTAAAAAGTACCTTGCCATTTTAAAAACTAAAAACACAGGGTTTCACGCTGTTAATTCCTCTTACAAGACGTGGCCTTAAACAAAACATAAGAAACTGGACATTCTAGACCAGTGTTTTTCAATGACAGTCTGTGAACCGGCACCGGTCCCTGAGATCTCCCTGACATAGGTTAGGAAGGCAGCAAGCCAGTCCTTGGTAACAAATGAGTTGAGAAACATTGTTCTAGACCACAAGCAGTTGGAAACCATCAAAACAGAAAAAGATTACAAACTGTTTTTAAAAAAATAATTAAAAAAGAGAAAATTAAATTCTTACTTTGCTCTTTTCATTTTCAGATTTCAAAAGTTTATTTTGCATCAGTCCTTCCATTTCATCAGCTTTAGCATCTCGTTTCCTTAAAGCCTTAGAGGGGGAAAATATTGTGAACTTTATTACAGTAGAGTTACCGAATCCTCATTTATAAAATCTGCTGAAATATCAAATAAAATATCACCTGGTACATGTATTAAGAAAAAAAATATGTTGTAAGTATTTTGTCTATGCTTAATATTTCTAAACAAAAACAATATAATCTCTCTTGCTGGGAGAGATTTATTTTTTCCTCTCTCTCTCACACAGCTGTGCCAAATATTTATGAGTGCAGAGACCAGATTAACCTTGGCATTCTTCTAATCTATAAACTTCCAGACTCCAAAGTTTGACCCTGGCCTTTCGTGCATGGAAAAAGAATAGAAGCATGGTTCTCCTGCAAATATTAAGACTTTCTTTGACATGGAAAATCTACTACCCCACCAAAATATGCTGATAGTAGCAAGAACTATGTACCTGCATTAATTATGACCAGTACTAAGGAAAACATTATTAGATACCAAAGCTGAACCTGAATCATGGCAAGATACCCAATTCTATCTATAACTGGGCAGATGCCTGCATTTTATTCTATCAAATACAGACCCAGCCACAATGTTCCACATATTCATTACTTCAAAGGTTGATAATTTCAACTTGTACCTTGGAATGAAGACACCCAATCTAAAGCTCTACCTCCTACAAAATCCAAAGATACAGTAGCTATTCTGCTTAGTAACAGTTTACCACAAACATCTGCTTTCTGAATTCATTGTGGAACTAATGAAAAGGTCATTTCAAGGTCTCTATCTTCATATTCAAAGCCTTTCTAAGGTGACCATGAACTCCTACAATAGCTGTGTACAACCAGAACAATGAAACTGATGACCACCAGTAGAACGCTTGAGCGTGTGAAAATTTTCTTTCCACAGCAGCTGGATCTAGACTATGAAACTCGTTCCAACAAGATAGAAGAATTATCACACACTTTACCACTTTAAGAGTTCATTTCTTCAACTTAGTTTTCCCTCAAAAAGTTCTTCATTCACACAAAAAAGCCCATTCACACAATGACAAATAAAAACAATTCTGAGAGTTAATCAAGCTATTTATTTTACTGGCTGAGAAAAGGAGACTAAGTTTGTTGTATTTAAATTAAAAAGATACTTAGGTACAATGGTGACCGGATCAGTGTTGACAAATACTGAGCAGTATATCAATTCAAAAAATATGTTCATGCAATCTACTTAAGAGTTCAAATCCACACAAGAGTTAGGTGTTCAAAGCTAAGGTTTCCGCAGCAGTTATAACCCAACTCCCTTGTGAATGTGCATTACTTCAGACTGTATATGCTGTTACACACACAAATACAGACATGCATGAGTGCACACACAGCAAGACATAATTATTATAGCTTCAGTATCTACAACTATGGTGTCACAGGGTCGATGGCTCCTTTAAAGGTGAGTCCCAGCAGAGGTTACCCATGACAAGTTAATTTAAGGGGAACAAGCCTATCTAGGTATCTAACTGAATAACAAGCACCTCAGCCTGAAAATGACCATCAGGCTCAGCTATGGACTCATAGACTATCAGAGTTGGAAGGGACCTCAGAAGATCATCTAGTCCAACCCCCGGCTCAAAGCAGGCACAATCCCCAATTTTTTTTTGCCCCAGATCCCTAAATGACCCCCTCAAGGATTGAACTCACAACCCTGCGTTTAGAAGGGCAATGCTCAAACCACTGAGCTATCCCTCCCCCCACAGGGAAGTGTTCACAGAGAGAGTAGCTCTCCTACTAGAGAGGAGCTCCCAGAGAATCACAAGCCCTGAGGAGGAGGGCTGTGCAATCCCTGAGTCCTAGGACAGAGACTTTATTTTAAGTTTATTTGTATTTAATAAAGTAGAATCCCAGCAGGGGAATTCTTGTTGAACCTCAGTGGAGTTCTTAAGGAGCCCTGAAAGAAGGGAAACGGAGGGAGAGAGGAAGGGAGTACCTGCAAGGCTCCTCCCCACCCTAGGCAAGCCGGGGTCACTAGAGGGGAAGCATACCCTGTAACATATGGATTTATTTATATTTACAGAGTTTGGTCAAATATAACATTGCAACAATATAGCTTTTGCATTTTATATTTTCAAAAAGCAAAGGTTAAATTACACACAGTGAGATTCAGAAGGTATTAAAAATCCATCCTAGGGAAAAGATACAATATAAGTGTAAAGTATTATTAGAAATAGTATCAATTATTACAAAAGTTTTAAAGAAACAGTCTTTATTTTCTATTGTACATAAAGGGTTTGTTTCCTGATCATGTTTCAAGTGCATTCTGAATCTTGCATCGCTGTGTTCATTTTAATGTTCAATCACTGAACTGTGGGTATGTTTTTTGTATTTTTTAAAAATAAAAATTAAATACTAAAAGCTATGTTAATGGAGAAGTCAACATGAGAGAGGAGCAGAGGTTGCAACTCCCTCCCCAGAGGCTACTCGGAACACTACCAACAACTCCCTAATTTTCATTGCAGAAAACTGAAAAGTTTTAAGGGCAAACTCTTGCCTTTTCAGAGACAAGTATGTGTGTGTGCGCGCATATGTGTATGTTTGGTTTGTTTCTAAAAGAGAAACTTAAGTTTTCCTGTGGGGAGTTTCACTATAAAAAGGGACAACTGTTTTTCCTAGAACATTCAAAATAAGGTTGTGTGTGTGTCATTGAACTCAGTCTACCCATTGGTTATAGTCCAAAACTTCCTCCTCTCCATTTCCTCTGAAAGTAAAATGACAAGAAACTAGATATGTTGTTTGCAGTGTTATTGTAGCTGTGGTGTCCCAGTATATCGGAGACAAAGTGGGTGAGGTAATATCTTTTCATGGACTAACTTTCATTAATGGAAGAGATAAGCTTTCAAGCTGCACAGAGCTCTTCTTCAGGTCTGGAAAAAGTAATCAGAGTGTCACAGCTAAATACAAGGTGGGACAGATAGTTAAGCATAAGACATCAGATACTAAAACTGATAGAAAAATATAATTGACTGATCTACAAGAGAACTAGGATCCTGAAAATTATGCTACTGTAAAGCCTTAGATATTGTGCAATTCAAGGCATTTCATAAAAATGCAGCTTATATGGATAACACTCATTTATATGATACTATTTATTTGCATACTGATCCCACAAACTCATAGTAAGTACAAAACAAAGCAAAAGCAAAATAGGAGTTTATGTATTATTTTTCCCTTTAGAGTTTGTTTTTACTTTAAAGTGGTTAAGATATAAAGCAATGTGTGCCCTGATCTGATATGCATGTTGTCTTTAAAATCCTTTAAATTACAGCAACAGCTTAGAGCCTTAATGCAAGGCCCCTGGGGCATATTTAAATATTTAATGACAGTTTTTCTCTAAATTTGCATATTTCCATTATAAACAACTCAAATTGTTGAATATTACACTAATGTAAACATGAGGTTGATGAATCTGAAATCTCACATTTACATATTCTCTAAAAATACTTTTCTTCTAATTTTGTTTTAAATTACAATTTTAAAAAATTAAATTTCCAGATCGACCACTTTCAGATAACTGCTTCAAATGCTGCCATAATGATGTATCTGCACATAGACTTTGAAGACAAAAGGCTAAGTTAATGCAATGTAAGTATTCAAATGTTAAGAAATGTCTCAGCTAAAGCTGAATATGTAAACTTCATTCTGCCCCTATAATGTCTCAATTACTTAATACAGTTTTGCTTAATTACCTATGTAGCATTTTGTTGTGTCCCCACAACTGTCACTTATTCTATTTTCATAATCATCCAACATTTATCTTTATTGACTTTCCCTTTGTATAAAGTTCTCTTCCCTCTAAAATAATGCAAATTAATTTGCCAGTACACATGTACTATATCAGCAGTACTAAAATTATGATCCCAGATAAATGGTATTTTAAAGTCCTGACTGGTTGTATACCAATGAGAAGTATACTGTAATAATTTATAAATATATAAAACACCTTTCATCCAAAAAAATGTTCAAAGTGAGACTCACTTTTCCAGTGGCGTAAGGCTCCCATTTCTAATCCTGCATGATCACAAGATATCAAATATTAAACCTGTCGCTAGTGAAAAACTGAATATTGGCTGTCTTAGAAAGGCAAAGGGGAGAAAGTCTATATTTGGAGAAAGAAGGAAACATTTTTATCACAGGTTGATTAAAAAAAGATGGCAGCTGTTTGAAACTCAGCTTTGATGTAGAATTATTGTAGTGCTTGAGGAGATGAAATAGTGGACTATGTGCAGTCAGGTGTATAATAAGTGCGGTTTATCATACAGCTATCTCCACGTAAATGTTCTATTTTATATGTAACTTATTTGCACACCCAAACCCATTATCTTTTTCTAGTAAAACTCTCACTGATACCCAGAGAGAGCACAGGGATAAGAGGGTAGAGCGAAGATCACCCAGGCATAGACTGGGCTGTTCTAAGGCCTGTTGTGTGTACAGAGGAATAGCGAAGATTCTCAGTGAACAGACATCAGTGCGGTTACAGGAGGGTTGAGACTGAACTGAAAGGACTGGCTGCAACACCTGTATTTCTTGTCCAAAATGAACAATGTTAGAAACATCTGTGTGTAAACATGCATGGCCTAAATTTTCAGAAGTGATTACTGATTTTGGGTGCCTTGATTTTTGAATCTCCAACTTGAAATATCTTAAGGAGACTTGATTTTCAGAAACTGATGAGCACCCACCTCAGGGCAGGGGGAGGAAATCAGATCTCTAAGGTATGTCAAATTGTGTACTCAAAATTCTTTTATCACTTTTGAAAATTTAGGGAAAGTGTTTTACAAGACTGCAGGTGCCTGAAATGATGGTTGTGATGTCTTTTTAACTTTGGGAGGAAATAGGGACTATCAGGGGACTATATCTGTCCTTCAAGAGAACACACTCAGTTATCAAATAGATCTTTCCTACCTTTAACTCTGAGCCTATGGTATGAGATCAGAATCACAGTAAAACAAGCATGCATGTCAGTATACATCATAGATACTATTTACAC